GATGGATGAAGGAATGAGTAGATGGATGGATAGATGGACAGACTGGATAAAGGGATATAAGAGGAAATGAGATGAGATTCTGTTTTGGACAAATATAGGATAACTAATAATGGATAACTAGATATAAGATAACTAATACGGCTCAGTGTTTACCCTCAAGAAAGAGCTCATAGACTTCGGATATTTGTACCCAAGAAGATACAACCCAGCATTGAGTAACTCTCCTTTAGTTAGTTTTGGGCAGTAAGTGAGAACAGTGAAGGAGCCCTTGGCATCCAGCATTACGGTCCAGCAAATCCAGGGTCTACTGATGCATTTATTCGATCCCTTTGCCGCCTGGAGAAAACACCCTTCCACACGCACCTCTTATTTCACTCTTTGGAACCAGGTCATTTACATAAAGGAGAAATGGGGAGGAAAGAACACAGCCAAGAAGGAGTAAAGGGCGCAGCTAAGCCAGGAAGCCAGCGTCCGCTCCTGACGTTGCAGGGCTGCCGCCTCCCTGGTAAAGAGCAAACGCTCCTGGCAGCATTTCTTGACCAAAAGGAAGCCAAAGAACAAATGAAAACAATACCGCAAGCCCACCCTGGGACCTAGAGAAACACTTTTATTGTGTTTCTCTTTCACCCACTTCTGAATTTAGGGTTTCGTCTAGCAGACTGAAGCGTGCTGCCTGTCATTTGTCAACCCCAAATGCCAGTTTCCACGTCTTAATGTCACGCCTCCTCACCACTACAATCAATCTGTGGACAATGAGGAACTTCCCAGTTTCCCTGCAGGGAGTCTGGAGCCTGAGCCTGGACGTCCCGGAGGGAAACCAGTGCTCCTGATGCTTCCTTTCATGACCATTTGAAAGACTGCCATCCCTCTGTGTGCTGGGCCATCCTCTTCACTGCTCCCCTTCTGTCGTCAGTTGGGTTTTCTTGCTCATGTAGCTTTTCTGAGGGGCAGAGGAGGGGCTCGGTAACATAAGAGACCCAAAGTCAAACAAAGCAATAATACCTTTGTAAATACCCTTAGGCAGTAGATACGCATGCTGACCTGCTCTGGTCATTGAGGGCCTCAGGGCTCCTATCTTTGGAGGAGCCCCATGCTCCCACCAGAGCAAACGTCGTGAACTACGCTTACATCACACGTTAGATAGTATACATTTTCAGAGCATTTAAAGCACTTTTTATAATTTTCTTATCATTTTGACTTTATACTTTTTTGTATATTAGGGCTAATCTATTTTCCAGCTGCAAACATCTTCCCATGCCCTGAGAAAGCTCACGGGACGTAGGCACCGACTAACGCAGAAAATGACCCCTCTCCCCTTAGCGATTCCAGGGCCCCCTCGCAGGCTGCTGGCTTTCATAAGCATGTTTCCTGACTGTCATCTCTGTTCAGTTAAGCTGGATTTCCATTATTCATTCATCTGTTGAGGGACACTTAGGTATATGTATTCAATAGAATACTACTCAGCCATAAAAAGAAAAAAATGAAATTTTGCCATTTGCAGCAACATGGATGGACTTAAAGGGCAGTACGCTAAGTGAAATGAGTCAGGCAGAGAAAGACAAATATTATATATCACTTATACATGGAACCTAAAAAACACAACAAACTAGTGAATATAATTTTTTTAAAAAAAAAAAAGAAGCAGAGTCACAGAACAAACTGGTGGTTACCAGTGGGGAAAGGGAAGGGGGAGGGACAATACAGGGGTAGGGGAGGAACAGTACAAACTATTAGGTATAAAATAAGCTACAAGGATGTATTGTACAACACGGGGATTATAGTCAATATTCTATAATCACTATAAATGGAGTAGAACCTTTAGAGATTGTGACTCACTATATCATGCACCTGTAACTTACATACTATTGTACAGCAACTATACTTCAGTTTTTAAAAGCTGGATTTTCAGTCAACCACAGAGGGTCCAGCACTCTGCTGGTTAGGGCATCACTCGACTTCCAAGGGCCCCAAGCTGTGGCCTGTTTTTCGGGGTTTTTTGCTCAGTCAAATCTAACACTCCACATTTCAAGAATGGCATCTTAACTAGGTGGGGCATTTTATTCCAAGTAGCTGAACCACTGGGACCAGGGAGCTGGGTTCCCTTTTTCCAGACTGTGATTCCCTCCAGACGAATCCCATGCCATTTGCAGAGATGAGATAGAAGAGATAACTGTTAACAACTTAATATGATTATTACCTGAAGCAAAAATACTGTGGTGTTTAATATGTATGACCATACTGGAACTCGCATCTGACCTCGCTTTTTATGCTCAAAGCTTAAAAGTACAAACAATGTTAAATCCTTGGCAGCAAGCCTGGAAGTGGTCTGTAGGCAAACTGGATAACTGTTGCTGTGAACGGCCAGATGGATGGTGATGCTTAAATTCTATACAGTCTGGTTGAAGAAAATTTGTCTCCTTTCTTTATTGTCACACGTCATCTTTCACCCCAACCAGATGACCAGTTTCACCAAGGCAGAGGTTGTCTTGTATTTTGAGGAGCTGTATTCAGTAAAAGATCACTAAGAGCAAAAATAAGAAATAGTAATTTTTTTAAAAATCAATTATCGAATGCTTACCAAATCACTGGTTCTGCTACCGGAATGTTTTATACCTTATCCCATTGGTCAAACGTTTAGGCACATCTTTGTAGAAGGGCTGATGATTCTCCGCTGAAGAATAAGGAAACTGAGGCTTTGAGGGGTGAAGTCTGAGATCACCCATGAACAGGGTGTGAATACTCAGACCTTTTTTCTGCTGCAAAGTCTGTGCTTTGAGGGGCATTCAAAGAAACTGAGTTTGGGGGACAGTATGTGAATCTTTTGAGAGCAGTGATGGAGCAGAATTTGACCCTTTCTCCCTTCCACCAACACTTCTTAGACACTGTGCTAAGTTGACTTGCTCTCAAGTCACTCATCGCCTGGAAGAGGGTATGACCATACCAGGCTCTCCTGTGGTACAGTGGGCTGAGGACCATCATAGACCCATGTCCTGGTTTGCTGTAGCACAGGGGAAAGAATGGCCAAGAGTGTGAAGGCAGCCCAGTATCCCAGTGCAAAAAGAGACAACCTTGTGTGTGAGGGCCTAGAAACATGAAAGCGCACAACACAGTTGGGGTGACAGTGTCATCAGGGGCAACTTGGTCAGACCAAATGGATTGAAGGAATCATCATGGAAGATGGTGGTCATAAGGCTAAGTGGAAGGATGACTAGCTCCATCCTGGGAAGACCTTTGGGGGTTGTTGAAGGCAAAGGCCCCCATAAACATGGGTATAAGTTCCTACGTTAGGACCAAAGGTAGCAGAGATGGGGGAATGGTTGGATTCAAAAGATATTTCAACTGTAAAATCCATAGGACTCGGAGACAGATTTGAAAAGGGGGAGAGTAGAAATGGGGGTGTCGTTTACCAGGATGAGAATAAAGAGGTGGCTTGAGGAGGCGGTCAGGGGTCAGTTTGGGACTTGTTGACTCTGATATGCCTACAGGACATCCAGGTGGAGAAGTATATTTTTTCCGCCATGCATTGTTGAGTGGTCGTTGTTTTGTTTTGTTTTGTTTCCCTTCAATCTACAAATAGAACTTGAGTCCTCCTTAAAGAAGTGGAGTTGCCAGTAAAAATAATGTTGGAATTAGTGTGTCTTGACTCTGGCCAGAGTAGACCCCCTGAGGCAAAGCCTAGAATATAGAAAGCAAATGGTGTTTTTGGCAGTCTAGGGGCAGGCACCCAGCTGCTAAGTAGGAGTTTTGGCCTGGAGAGGGGGCCGGGAGCAAAGGAGTGTTGGGGGAGGATGGAGAAAAGGGGGGCAGGAGAATTATCTCTAAGAAGAAATCACTTTTGTTTTTAATTTTACACACATGGGGCTCATAATACTTGTAAGAACAGAGCTTAGCAATGGAGAGAGATGGAGAGATAAGAGTGAGTCTCCCTTCGCGAGAGGCTGGGGGGCACTGCTGCTTTCTGCTGAACAGATTCCAGTGCTCAAAAGACCCTATTTTTCGTGAAGGGCAAGGAGAAAGTGATTCCCAAACCTTCCATGGCTTTCTTCCTGCTTTCCTCAAAGTGCAGTCCAGCCTCTCAACTCTGATCTGTCGGAGTTTACCCATGAGATTGTGGATCTGGAGGAGTTTCAAATACGTGAAACATTGTTGCTCTCCCTTGTGCCTTATTTTTACCTACCTCCCTACTTTGAAAGCAGTGTCAGTGAGCAGTACCAGCTGCAGGGTATCTGATTCTGGGAGCCTCTCACCTCCCTTCTTGTATTAATTTAGGAATGTTTCATTTCTGCAAAAGTGGTGCTGTGATCTTTGCTTTTCTATGCATGCCTTTCATCTGGCGCTCACAATGTGCTATACAGATGTTCCCCTGCCAGACCCCGGTGCCCCCTAATTTGCTTTGAGATCCCCGCAAGTTACAGCCCCTCTAGGCAATACCACCCCTTTACCTGTAGCTAAGCACACAAACAGGATACCCTGGGGGAAGGGTCTCCCTCTACACGCTGCCTTCTGCTTCTTTGCCCATCCAACCTTTTTCAGACTCTGCCTTCTCTGTTCAGTCTGTATAATTCTCGCTCATCAATTCATTTCCATTTGTTATTTCAGTGTGTCCATATTGAGTGAAATACTGAGGACTGTGCTTGTATCACCAGGGATACAACAATGAGTGAAGTGCAGCAGGGCCCTGCCTCTGGGAGCTCATGATACGGTGGGGGAGACGACAGAAAAGTGGGCGGGAACTTACAACCTGGTATGGTAGATGCTAGGATGGGGCTAAGCGCTGGGTGCCATGGGAACACAGCATATGAGCTCCTGACTCTCTTTGGTGAGACAGAGTGTGCTTCCTATAGGAAGTAAGAGTGAGCTTGCTGTGGTTTGGATCCTGAATCAACTGCTTACAAGCTGGATTACTTTGGGCAAGTCACTTAACACTGAAAATGTGTTACTGAATTAAAAATCTAATAAAGTACCCAGCACACAGTAAATGCTCAAAAAGCGTATATTGAGGGGGGGTGGCTCAAGTGGTAGAGCACATGCTTCCCATGCATGAGGTCCTGAGTTCAATCCCCAGTACCTCCTCCAAAGATAAATAAATGAATAAACCTAATTACTTCCCCCTCATAAGACAAGCAAAACATGTACTTTGATATTGTTCCACAGATCTGTCTCATCCTTTACAAGGATATGTATGTATATGCATGACTGGGACATTGTGCTGTAGACCAGAAATTGACACGTTGTAACTGATGGTACTTGAATTAAAAAAGAAAAACGAATATTCATTCATCATTCATTCATTCACTCCTTCATTCGGTAAATACATACTGAGTACCACCTTGCGCCAGGTGGTGTTCTCAGTGGAGGTGTGTAGACATGTGCCCAGGGCTTAGAACATCAGTACTTCTAGGACGTAAATTACTTCACCTCAGCCCTTTTCCTTCTGCGTGGGCTGTGTTTGGCGAAAATCTTGGAAGTAATACTAATAGAAATTCTCTTTTGCTGCCTGTCGAAGCAGCAAGAAGACCACTTTCCTAGGGGTGAGGGAAAGTCCGGGCAGTGAGGAAATAGCCCTGTAGCTGTGCCCAGCTTGCCCTTTGCAGGTCACCATCTCCCCTCCAGCTCTAGGCTGCTTCCCATTGGCTCCAGCCCGACAGGAGTCCCCCTCTCCCACCGCCACCTCCCTCCCCACCCCTGTCACAGCTTTAGGTCTGCTCAGCAGGGACAGGAAACTGCACATAGGAATGCATGGTCATCCTCCGCTGCTGTCAGAAAGAGTCGAAAAGCCAAATTGGGTGCCTTAAAGTTTTACAAGTGCCCGCTGCTGCTGAATACTTGAAATTCTTAGAAATAAAATGCGCAGCTCCCGGGAGTTTTTCCTTGGGGAAAACCTGGCCATCTCATTCCCAGGTCCAGCCACAGCTGTGCCACACGGAGCGAGAAGGAGACTGTCAGCCACGAACCCAGCTGAAACCTTAGTGTGAGTCAGCGTCTCTGGGGCCGCCTCGCCCCAGGGCCGCTCTGCTCCGTGGAGGAGTCGTCCCTACGCTGTGATGGACGGGGCTGCTTCTGCAGAGAAGACAGGCTTGCGCTGTAGGGAGCTAAGGAGGCGTATGCCTGTTGCTGTGGTTGATGCTCCCGAAACGCAGCAATAGGTAGCTTCCTTCTACTGGTTCAGAACACAGAGCTGGGCTCTTCAGCCCCGTGGAACTGAAGAATAATAAAGCACCACTTTTTTTTTTTAGTGTAGTCAGTTTAAAATGTGTTAATTTCTGGTGTACAGCATAGTGATTCAGTTATACATGTACGTGTGTGTGTGTGTATGTTCCTTTTCATACTTCTTTTTCATTATAGGCTATTACAAGGTATTGAATATAGTTCCCTGAAGCACCACTGTTTTGAGCCATTCTGTTTTCAGCAAACACCTTGCCCTTTCTTTCTTTCTTTCTTTCTTTTTTAAGCTATAATTCAATAACATAATATTCACCATCTCAAAGTATACCATTCAGTTTTATGTATATTCACTATGTTATGGCGCCATCACAACTGCCTAATTCCAGACCATTCCCATCACCCCAAAAAGAAAACTACCACTCATCAGTGGTCTCTTCCCGTATTCCCCTCCCCGCAGCCCTGGCAACCACTAGTTTACTTTTTGTCCCTGTGGATTTGCCTTCCCTGGGCATTTTGTATAAATGGAATCATGTAATAATTGACCTTTTACATCTGACTTCTGTCACCTAGCATGTTTCCAAGATTCATTCATGCTGTAGTGTGTTAACAGTACTGCATTCCTTTTTTATGGCTGAATAGTATTCCATCATATGGCTCTAACATATCTTCTTTATCTGTTCATCAGGTGATGGGCATTTGGTTATTTCTAATCTTTTGGCTACTGTGAATAAGGCTGCCATGAACATTCATGTATAAGGTTTTGTGTGGATGTGTTTTCATTTGTCATGGGTATATACCCAGGAGTGGGGTTCCTAGATCATATGGTAATTCTATGTTTAATTTTTTGAGGAACTGCCAAAATGTTTTCCACAGTGGCTATACCATTTATGACCATGCCAACAGTGTATGAGGGTTCCAGTTTCTCCACATTCTTACCAATACTTGTTATTGCCATATATGTATGTGTGTACGTATATAGAGAGAGAGAGGGGAGGGGAGGGAGAGAGAGAAAGGCAAGGGGGAGAGAAAGGAGAGAGGGCCCTCCTGGTGCCTACTGGGTGTGAAGTGGTGCCCTCTCTCATGTGTATAATTTGGTCGTTCTAGGCTTTTTCTTCTCTCTATGCATTGCTCCTATCAGTGTGATTTCCTCCTATGTAGGATCCAGATTTTTTCGTAAAATTCTGGAAGAAAGATGATGGACAATTTTTTAATATTGTGTGTGCCTCGTATTTATATCATTCTTACTGTTATCCTGGCCTGAATCTGCCTCACCCCAATCCTGAGCTCCCGGTTCACATGCCTGCCAGATGTCAGGACCCCTCCTACTCCTGCTCTTTACTGGTTACAGGGCCTGAATTTGATAAGACAGGGATAGTGCCTCCCTCCTGAGCCGGCCCCCCCCCGTCCTGCCCAGGCAGCTGGACAGAGGAGAGAAGGAGCCCGTTGCCTTCACGTGCAGTCTCTTGCTTCTCTTTATTTCTAAACCAAGGGGCTAATGAAATATACAGCAAACTTTGGTTTGGAAGAAATTACAAGCAGAGTCACATGCAGGCTTACTATGCAAGAGTTTGTGGTCTATTGAACATAGGTCGTGTAAAGTGTCTTCAAGAGATTTGCAATGCACATTGTCAAGTTATACTAAACCAACTTGAGAGAACACAGTGTTTTCATCTATCTTAGTTGTGTGTTGGAGTTACGACTGACAAATTGTTCTTCTTGTTAAAATAAGTCCTTAAGGATCTCCAGCAAACACTGAAATCACCAAGTCATAGTGTATACTTGTGGGTAATCCGTTCATGTTTTGTAATTCAAACTTTTCTAGCTAATTTAAACTGTCATGTGTCTCAACCAGCCCTAATTAATGAGACTTTAGAGTCTGTCCATTGAGTCTGATTCCGAAATAGAACCGAATAGTTAAGCGCAAGGCAAAACAGACTTTGGTTTGAATCCTAGCTCTGCTCTGACTCTAGGACCTCGAGCAAGTCATTTTTCTCTAGTTTAAAACGAGGTTCTGATGTGTCCATTAGAGGGCTGCTTTGAGAAGCAAATGAGATTATTTATGTAAGGTATCAGCACAAGGTCAGCCACATGAATTTAGCAGGCATTTGATGAAGCCTTTAATAGCGATAGCACAGTAGTTGCATCTTTCTTTAAATAATAGGCATGTCCAGAAATGGTGCAAGCAAATTCCTTTTTATTTTTGTTTTGTGGACAATGAAACATATTAACTAGATTAGAGAGCTGATTTTTATTTTTAAGGAACCGCATGGTGAGTCCTCTTTTGTAAATGGATGCATCACTTCTAGTCTTACCTGGTTTATGTACATTTCCCTTTTGGATCTCAGGATTTCTGAAAATGGGACACACCTGTCCAGAATCCTAAGCTGCCACCCCCAACTCTCCTGCCTCCGCTTGAAAAATGTCACAGTGCCAATCTCTGGTTGGCAAATGCTGGTGTGGCAAACAGCACCTTCCTTTGATGTGACCAAACTGTGTGTGTGAGAGCCTGGGGTCTCTGGGTCGAAGCAGGTACGGGCTCCTGGGAGGAAGTAACTGATTGCATTAATCTTGTTCTCCGTCAGGCTTTTACGGGAACTCTCAAAAAAAAAAAAACCCTTTAATGTTAAAGTGGAAACAAAAGTGCTCCAACCATAATAAGGATCTCAATTATAACCCTGGGAGAGCAGATGGGCACTGGATTTGACAGAGGGAACCTTTTCAGCACATCTGTCTTTGATAACTTCTAATGCAGAGAATGGGGCCTTTGAAATTAATTGGTCACTGAGTCGGAGA